GGTGGTGTCCTAACCCCTGTATTGTCCCCTGAACTATCCGTTTTCGGATTAGCTCAGAAGGCTTGTGAATGGGAAGCTAAGCATGGACCTGTATACACTTCCACGGCGAGCTGCTATAACTGCGGTGAAGGAAATAAGGCCCACCCTTCCTCGGTCACTTGTGAGAGGTGTGAACAGCCGTGGAGTCCAGAAGAGTTTTGGGAATGGCTTCGGTCGAGACACTTCCAGAGCATCTGGGATCAGCTAAAGAACCCCCGTAGACCATTAACAGAGTCAACTCAATTCGTCAACAATCAGGATCGGTTGTACAAGATGATCGGTGAGATCGGGTTCGATGTTCCGACCGGAAATAAACAGTGCACATTCGAGATGTGCCATCAAGCAATCGAGAGGTTCCTGCCGACAGCTGGTTTTCGATCGTTGTCGGGCCGATTCGCGTACTGGCTGCTGCTAGGTAGTACAGTGTTCAAGAAATCCCCAAACGGATTTTGTCGATGGGAACATGAACGTTTGGTGGTACATAGGATCAGCTCTTATTGTACGAATCAGGTCGATCCCGACTGCAGCGCACAAGTCTCTCAACAGCTCGACCCTAGATCGCACGCTGGTCCAGTTGTGGACTCTCCAGTTGTGGACTCTCCAGTTGTGGACTCTCCAGTTGTGGACCCTTTGGAAGTGGATAGATGTACTGGTAGCACTTACACTAGGAGTAACAAGTCTGATGTTAATAAAGGTATTCAAATCATCTTCCCAGAAGAGGAGGGGTTGTTTGTTGACGCGAGATGTCTGGTATGGGCGTATGACATACTAAGTCATGGTTGGTGGCACTTGGTTCCTTTCGAAGTGAAAAAGCCGATATCGGTTTTTGGACTTGCTCGAAAGGCTGTTGAGTGGGAGGAAGCGAGGAAGGCTAACCCGGCTTTAAGACCCAATATAACATTCGAAGCAAGCTGCTATAAGGTTTCTTATGGCTATAAGATTGTTTGGGATCTAGTAATGTTCTCTGAATGGTTGCGGACGGGACGATCTACAGGTGACGTTGGATTTAAACATGTGTCGCAAGAGAACAGACAAGGTGGTTGGTTGATTGCGTCAGGCGACGCCAGTGCTGCAGTTCGTGACTTGGTCCAATCTTGGCCGACTAATCAGTCGTCCAAGGGGGAGGGATTTGCGTGCATATTGCGCCGTTGGAGACGTCGGTATAAACCCCCGACATTCGCAGGAGAAGGTGGGTCACTACGGTCTCGTACTGAGTGCCTCTCGTGGCGGGAGTTCACAGGAATAGTCGTCAAGACGTTGGGGGAATTAGGAGTGCCCGTGGAACAAGCCCCAAAAGAGCTGCGCAGGTGTCAGCGAAGACAACAAATACGCGAGAAGGTCGCAGCATTCACAGAATTGAATGACCCCGCACACACATCGTTCCTAGACGTCATGATGAGCGACTCACCCCCATCCCATCTGATGAGTATTTCGGGAAATAAGTTTCAGGTAGTCAAGGAAACAGAGACTGGAATGCAGATTCCACCACGCTACCTGGTTTGGGCGTACGACGTTCTGAATCACGACTGGTGGGCTGCGGTACCGGAGGACATCTTCTGCTCCGGACTGTCCGTCTTCGGATTGGCTCAGAAAGCATGTGAAGCCAACAATCAGAAAATCCATAGTTTATCCGCGAGCTGTTATAACTGCGGAGAACGTAATAGGGCGCATCGTTTTACGCAAAGTTGTGAGAGGTGTGAAGAACCATGGAGTCCAGAAGAGTTTTGGGAGTGGCTTCGATCCAGACATTTCGAACACGTGTGCGATCAGCTGAAGAATAATGGCCAACCGACAGAAGAGTGTGCGGCAGACACACGTCCATCTGTCAACTGGGAAAACATGAATCGAGATCACTTATTGAAGATGATAGATGAGATCGGCTTCAATGTTCCTATAGGAACAGAAGATTCAACATACCAGGTGTGTGACGAATCAATTGAGACATTCATGCCTACAGCTGGTTATCGGTCATTCTTGGACAAATTCGTGGGTGCACGGACCACGCGTAGTGGTGTGTTTAAGAAATCATCCGACGGGTTTTATCCGTGGGAGTTTCAGCGCTTAATCGTACACAGAGTTAGCTCATGTTCTACTACTACTGATCCGAGCTGTGGCACTGGGGATTGTTGAGATCCCGTCGAGTCAGAGAGGAGAGCTGATTAGTTGGTTCAAATCACAACAGGCAAGGATACGATTCAGTCAGTTCTGGGGGCCATGCGACCGGGTTGCTGGGGACTTATACTGTGGGCACACCGAACCACGATGGTTAGGCGCGGTACCATGCACGAACTTCTTTTCTGGAACTTCGATACGATCACGAAATCGTTTCCATCCCCATTTGACCCGTCGTGTAGGTCCACCCCCATCCGCACCGAACCACAACGTGGCTTGGTGCCCGTATAGCCACGGCCCGACTACCGCCGTGCCGGCCAAGCCCGTTTGTCTGGGTTTACTTCACTACCGGGACCCGTCGATTTCCTTTGATTGGGGGGCATAAGGCCTTTGTGTCGTTCGTGACCCGTTTGGTCCACAGGCCAGAAGCCTTTAGTTAAAGCCCCCAGAAGCCTTTAGTTAAAGCCCCTCCCAAAAAAAAGGAGGACGGTACAATTATTCCAGAACTGCACAGCCACTCCGGAGCATCAGAATGCAGCATCGATTACCCTACAGGAAGGCGCCCACTTCGTTCGGGATTGTAACTATCTTGTTGAACTGGGGAGTCACACATGCACACGACACTGCCTCGTTGTCACAACCCCTGAGCCCACACTCGGAAGCGGACGGCTCGTTGTCAGTCGTTCCCGCAGCTGGGTTGGCGCCACATGGTTCCTCGACAGAGGATGTCGAAGAGGATGCTTCACCGGCGAAGAGAATGAGTTTCGAGAAAGCGCTTAAGTTCTTGGATCAAGCCTCGATAATGAGTGACCAGGCCGTTGCAAAAATCGATAGTATGGTGGTCGAAACATTGGGAGACTGGGACGACGGTGATGGCATCATTTCAGAAATGGACGTTATTGCAGAAATAGACAGGATTGTAGAGGACATGCTGGCGGATTATCCAGGTGCCCGATTTGAGAGTAGCACGGTGGGGAATACTACAGGTCTAGGCCCAAGCCTAGACCCCCAGTGTGCTCTTGATTCAGAGCGTAATCCTTCATTTCAAATCATCTCACCACAAGAGAAGGGGTGGTTTATTGAAGCAAAATATCTGGTATGGGCGTTTGACATACTGAGTCATGGTTGGTGGCACTTGGTTCCTTTCGAAGTGAAAAAGCCGATATCGGTTTTTGGACTAGCTCGAATGGCTGTTGAGTGGGATACAGCGAGGAAGGCTAACCCAGGTCTAAGAGCCAATCTTGCGTTTGGAGCTCGTTGTTACAAGGTTCTGTTTGGCCGCATATGTGTTTGGGATGAGGCAATGTTTTGTGGATGGAGGGAATCGAAACGATCAGATATTGGTTTCGGAAGTCTGTCTATTGTAGAGCCGCCTGTTGAAAATACCAAAGAGCCCAGCTACGCTAGTGCTGCACTGATTGACGTGCTGGAAAGCTGGCCCGTGAGTCCATTGCATAGCACCAAGTTTACGGACAACATGAACCGTTGGCGGATTCGGTACAAGCATAAGATTAATTGCGGGTCCCCAGAGGAGTATGGCTACCCACCATCCGCTGTGGCTGCATTCATCTCATCTGGGGAGTTCGAAACGTTAGTCATAAAGGCGTTTGGAGATTTAGGAATGCCTGTGGAACAAGTACCAAAGGAACTGCGTAGGTGTGTGCGAAAAGAACAAATACGTGAGAGAGTCGCAGGGTTGACCGCAGCGGGAGTTAGTGATCTGTCGTTAATCGAAGCCATGATGAGCGACTCACCTCCATCCCATCTGATGAGTATTTCGGGAAATAGGTTTCAGATAGTCAAGGAGACAGAGACTGTACTGCAGATTCCACCCCGTTATCTGGTTTGGGCGTATGACGTTCTGAACCACGGCTGGTGGGGTGCGGTACCGGAGACCATCTTCTCACCCATGCTAACCCTTTTCGGATTGGCTCAGAGAGCTTGGGAGTGGGAAACAGGCGGTAGCAGAATTTACACTTTGTCAGCGAGTTGCTACAACTGCGGAGAACGTGTTAGGCTCCATTCTCCTATACAAAACTGTGAGAGATGCGAAGAGCCGTGGAGTCTGCAAATATTTTGGGAATGGCTTCGTTCGAGACACTTCTCAACCATTTACGATCAGTTTCGGAACGTTAATCTGTCGAGAGACTCTGGTGGCTTGTACACAGATGTGTCTGAGATGATTGCTGCTGTCGGATTTGCTGTTCCATCCGGAAATAAAGGACCAGCACTAGAACCCAGTGAACAGGAAATGGATTCGTTTGCCAGGATGAACTGCCGCCCATCACTAGCCGAAAGGTTCCGTCAGTGGTTGGCACGAACAAGAAAGCGGAAATGCTCGGGCAAAGGAATTGATCGATGGGACTATGAACGCTTGATCGTACATAGAATCAGCTCACATCTAACCTTGGTTACCCCTAGTGTTGGGTGTAACTCGGCCACAGACAGCAGCAACGGCCACCGCCAGCAGCAGTGACCACAAAACGCACTTTTTACCCGGCAGAATCCTGCCAATTGACTTTCTGCTTTGAGTAATCCTGCCCTTATTACGTCTCTCTTAGCAGCTCTCGTAGATGCAACTGGCTCGACGTTGAGCCGTTTCAACTCGGCCTCAGTCCGACATGCAGCATTCAACATGGATGAAACCACCACTATTCAACCACTGTGAAACAGAATGCCACAGTCGCGGCAATTCGACCTGCTGAACGTACCCCGAGGCCCGGGCACCAAGGTCGAAGACTTCTACGCAGACGTTGCCACGAGAATATTCCCAACTAGCAACCACATGGCCAACACGTACGTGGCGATTGCGACCATCCAACTCGGAGACTTCCCACGGCTCAGGGAACTACTCAACCAACTGCTGACGCG